AACAACTCCAGAAACCTCTGCCAAATGGCAGCAACTTGTGGGAAAATTCTAAGCATTAGAAGCGCTTCATTTTAGCTCTGTGCAGGACAAATGTAGTTTCTGTCCAATTTGAGGCTGGTTTGATGTGGAGCACTAATTACTGTCCTTTCTGTTCTCTGATGGAGATCACAGTAATGACTGAGAAGAAATCACATCTCATTTCCTTTGGCAGCACAGAAGTGATTGTTCTCAAGGTGGGAAAATATTCAAAGACTGAGGTTACCAAGGATTGTGGAAAGCTGATGAGTTATTTTCTGTTGTGAATTTTTAAATTTCTTAGCATCTTTTCTTCTAACATTTTGCCATTTCTGAAAAGAAGGTGTCTTTAGTTCAAAACCCACGCTATTTCCCCAAGGAACACTGTCTAAATTTTCTGCCGGGATAGGGGAAGGTGAGGAGCAGGGCAGCAGCCATGGTCCTGCCCGGTGGGCTCGGTGCACAGACCAGGGACAGCCAGGAGCGGCATTCACTTGAGCAGTTACCTCTGCCCATTTCCAGCGCTGGCCCAAGTGAGAGCAGAAGCCACTGCCTGGGATGGTCTGCGCACTCTGCAGAAGGAGCAGGCCATATGTGTGTCTGGAACAAAAACCCAGAGCTAAGAGGATGAGCTTCCTCCCTCCTCTGGCTCTCATCCACCCTTGCACGTCAATTGGGCCAATCACACTCTAACTTCTGTCTAAAAAATGACTTTTTCCTGGATTCAGTCTGTGGCTCATGAACAGTATTGGCCATGTTGTCATTCTTGCTCACACATCCTGCCATTAATGGAAGGAGTTATTTAAAGGCAGACATTGCTTTCACCCATCACTGCCTTTCACAGACGCCACCCTTGCCCTCAAGCTGAATAATTCTACATTAAAAAGCATCTGACCCTCCGAAATTTCTTTTGCTAACAGAATCATTCCAAACTCTGCCTTTTAACAATTTTTTTTTAATGAAAGAAATGGTAGAGGCTTTGTTATCTTTCCATATGAAGAGTCCATTGACTTCACAAAAGAAAAATAAATGTCTCTGGGTTTATGAGACTTTATTGTGCATCTTATTCTTTTAGCATTTGAACGTTGATACCCTGCTCATGCTGGCCAATAAAAAGGTGGAGCCACACATCCCTCTGTGAGTCCTATAGGGTGCTAAAAAATTCAAAGACAGATAGAAGTACAAAAGACTAGAGAGTTTGGTAGCAAGACCCGGACTGGAGTCATCAGACCTACATTCTAATCTGATTCTGCATCTAACCATTGTGATGCTGGGAGGCCACTTAACATTGGTGGGCTGAGTGGGCTAATTTCTCAAATCAAGGGCTTAAGGTGGGGTTAGAATGGAAGGTTCATTTCAGCTCTGACATTCTACAACTCCGAGGATCTCATTCAACGAAATTGGAAGAAGAGCCAGACCATATTAAATTTTACTTACATGCCATGAACAGTCTGTAAATCCTAAAGAGTACTCCATTTTGTAATTTGCTTCTTTAATAAACAATTTTAGATTTATACAATGCATTTCAGTCTTTAAAACATTCTATTCTAATTAGAATCTGAATTTTATAGCTATGAAAAGAGATGCATGGAGATGTGAAATAATATAACTACTGTTATAGGGCAAAATTATTAACATGAGAATATTCACAGAGTTTCTGCTCACCTCTCTTACAAAAGAGATCTTATAGTTAAATTATCAGCTCCATTTCTTCTTCTTGCTGGAAGAGATAATAACAGGCTGAGTGAGAAGAAGAGAAGGAGAAGTTTGCTTTGTGGGAGGAGTGTTGGAGATGCTTAACCAGATGTACTGTGTGAGGAAAGTGACTAGAAGTTTGAAATTGAAATAGCATTTTAGTAAGTTTGTTGTGGACTAATTATGGATCTCTCCAAGACATAAAGATAAAATTTGTTTTTCAATTCTTTATGGCTGTTGTAACGTGCTTCTTGAATGCAACACAATTCTAATACCAAATGATGCCAAGATTTTTGAGGATGAGCGTGCTAAATGAAAATTAGAGATCCAGTTTCAAATAGCTTCTACAACCTTCTTAGAGGCTCACACAGGGCCCCTTCTGTCCATGGTTTTCTTTTCTCTCTAATCCCCCTACCCACCTACCTGACAAACACTTATTATATTCTTTTAGGTGCTGGATATGCAAGGATGAGTTCAATAGAGGCCTTTCCCTGGGAGGTCCCCAGGGGTTCCAGGCTCACCTGCTGTAGCTGTGATGCCAGGGCTATCTCTGGCCTGTGGGCTTGGAAGGATTGAACTGAGACTCTATCCAGCTCCAAGTTAGCCCGTAATATTATTCCCCATCTCTTCTAACCTACTCTGCTTCAAATTTATCTTCTTGAATCACTTTCTTTTCAACTTTGGCTATATCCTGCCGATGGAATCCAGATTATTCCCAGTCTAACACCAATTTTATCATGTGAGAAGGCGAGAAAGCATAATTACAAAACGCCAAGTCCCTAAGTAAAAGCCTCACTCACGTAAAGCATAATAAAGCAGGGTACATGGACTATTCCTGGAAAACCACTAAATAAGCTGGGAGGATTTGCACCCAGTGATATCTCCTTTTCACAGCAGTGACATTTGAAAAAAGACTAGGATTAATTCCTTCTTTCAATCAATCATTTTTGAATACTCTAGATATAAAGGTCATATTTTAAGGTCATTTAAACACACATCAATAATTCAACATGGCATTATTTTCTTCATACTGATATTTCAGTATTTTCATCAATACAAATCTAATTGTATCTATTAAGATTATGTTAATCCATAATTAACAACAACTACAACTATAAAAAATGGCTTCAGGACTTAAACAAGTGAGAGGTATCTTTTTCTTGTGTAATAGGATGGCTGGTGGTAGGCAATCCAGGCTAGAGCAACTTTTTAAGGATGTCAAGAAATCAGGCTCAGTCTTTCTTCATGTTCCGCCACTCGTGGTCATGTCCAAAAGACCACAGCATGGCTACTGTGCTTCCAGGAAAGAAGAAATGGGGAAGAAAAACAGGCTCTGCTTAACATAGGCTTATTCCAGAAGAGACAGCCTTCATAGAGACTTGTGCTCTATATTTCATTGACTGGAACAGTGTCACATGGCCTTTCCTAGCTGCAAGAGAGTCTGGGAAGGTAATTATTTTCCAGCTTCTGTAATAGAGGCAAGCAAGGGAAAAGGGTATAGGACTGACTGTCTGGTGAGAAAAACCTATGACACCTGCCATAGGGACTTCTCATATATATGTAACAATGAATGCAACTTACGGCTGCATTTCTTCTCTGCAGCCTGCTAGATGGTTTCACAATAACTTACAAAGCTTATGAAGGCAAAATGCTTTCTAAATTATAAAATGCTTCGTGAATATTATCTTGAGGTATATTTAAATGATTAATTGAATTTTCAACTTCTAAGGAATTTTATGAAAACATTGTTTATGTCTTACTTTGATTCCATACTTGATATATCAAAAATATATACTCTTAACCAGTAAATAGCATTATTTTCTCTTTTCTATAATCATTCTTAATAATTGTAGGCACTTATTCTGGGTCACCTTGGGTGAACATTTCTCTTTCTGTCTCCAGCTATTCTGTTGTCCTCACATTTATCTCTTTGTATCTGGGAGTAGGAGCTGTACCTGAATAATAAATAGGCGGGAACTGCCAATTCACCAGCTGGCTATGTGTTCTCTTCTTCCTTTATCTACTGCAAATTTTGTCCTAGTGCTGATTTATTGCATTGAGTAATTGCATCCAGACAGCTACATGCCAATCATGTGTACCCTGATTACTCATTATGAGCCTGACGATACCATACAACTCACTAATGAGAACATTATAATGTTGGCCAGTGCCAATTAGATGATAATCGTGTACACTGCTTTATTTACAGTCCATCCATTTAAATTAATTGGGCTTTTAATTGAACACAGTGTGAAAGAAATTGGAATTGGGTTTCAAAGTTTAAGTTACTTTTATCTGCCATCTCTTATAGGTAGGTGAGATTATTCACTTGATCTGAAAATGTAAAGTAAATATGAATAAACACAATGCTTATTTTATAATGGCACATATCCATATGTAAATTTATTTCAAAATGTGTTTGGAAACAGCAACCTAATTTGCAAGTTTTTAATCTCTACTAACCTCCTTATGTGACCTGATTATAGAGAGATTCTAAATGCATGAGAAATATTGATAAATCCAACACTTAGTTGGAAATATGAGGTGGAATCCTACACCAACCTGATGAGAATATTCTGATATTTTCTTAGGATAGGAAAGTTACATTTAATTCATGAATAAATATGTGGCAAACTATACCTGATTTTGATCCCTATTTATTTTTCTCTTTCAGGACACAGTATCAAAATATTCCAGGATCTACATTTTTAAATGAGCATATAATTGCTAAAAATTATATGTATAAAAGCACCACTAAATTCAAAGTGTCTTTTCATTGAAATAATTTTCTAAAAGCATATGTAGAGTAGACATAGAATAACTATATGAAAAAGAGCTTCTAGACAAAAGAATCCAGAGGCCAACTCTTCTATTTTTTTCTCAAAAAGTAGCAGCATTTCTGGTTTATGAGATGCACCAAATGACTAAAGTTCTCTTCTCAAAATAAGTTAGAAAATGTGCTGTTCCAATAATTCATAAGAACTGTGTATAGAAAAAAATCATAAATGATTCTTATAAATTAATTGGAACTAAACTTACTTGAGAAAGAGGACCTCAGGGGAATTAGATAATATGACAGTTTTTAAAGTTACACTGTGTCACACTAAACAATCTTAGTTCTTTCCCTTCTGGCCACTTAACTCAACCAGGTGAATCAAATAGGAGGAATCGTGTAAAGACTTTTAGCCACTCTAATAAGGGCCAATATGATTCTGTTTGTAACTTCTGACCTCATGATGTCTGATTCTACCAAGGTCTCTTGCTAGTCCAAATGAGCACATGATCTTTGCCTAAATAAGTTTCCCAAAGTTTCTGAGTACAGTATAAGGACACATTTCAAGGGAGAAGCTGGGCTCATGTTTTTATAAGATTCGAATCATAAAGGAACAACTGAGGCTCAGGCCAGGAAATCCATGAACCAGGATATTTTAACCCTGTCTGTCTGATTGAGTAGCCTCTAGTCACATTTTGCTACTGAGAACTTAACATGTGGCTAGTCTGCATTAAGGTATGCAGTAAGTATAAATGCACATCAGTGTTTGAACGTTTAGTATGATAAAGTAATTTAAACTATTAATAATTTTTATATTGAGCACATGTGGTGGTGACAATACTTTGGAAATATTGAGTTAAATAAAATATATTATTAACATTGATTTCACCTTTTTCTTTTCCTCTCTTTAATGAAACTAGAAAATTTTATATTACATATATGGCTCGCATCAGTGGCTCATATTATATTTCAATTGAAAGGCACTGCTCTATCCTAATGGGAAGAATGGACAGTCCCCACATTTATTGTCTTCAGGCTGACAAATTATAGGTTCAAGAATGAAAAAAAGAACAACTCCTCTGCCCTTGATGAGTTGGAAGTCTCATCTACTCTAAGATTCTCACAAGTTGCCATGTAATAATGGGGACTGGCCCTTCCATGGAGGAGGCACTGAGTGGTGCCTGAGCAGCTGCTAAACATTGGCTTTCATTCACACTGGATCAGGTTTGTTCCATTTTCTATATACAGACATTTAAAGCTAAATTATTTTGAAGATCATTAGAAATTAGCTTGGATCCCAATATGTGACACCATGTATAAAAGTAAAATATCATCATTTCTCCTAAAAAGAAAACACAAAACCCAAGGCACTCCTGTAATTGGTGCATCATCTGTTCGTGAAGCTCTTGAGTCAGATCAACTGATGGGGGCTCCTGTGGTGACTAGTTTGTAGTAGGCTCCTTTCTGGGCCATCAATTCTTTATGGGTTCCCTTTTCAATCACTAGCCCCTGGGACACGACTGCAATGATATTCGAGTTTTGGATGGTAGACAGACGATGGGCAATGACAATGCAGGTCCGACCTTCTCTGGCTTTGTCCAGGGCAACCTGCACCGTCTGCAAAGGAAAGATGGGAAGTTAATGAAAAGACATATGCTTGTTTCCTGGCCCACCACTGCAAGAGTTCTGTTTAATACCACCTGAGTAACACTACTGTCCTCAGGAGTTAAACCCAAAAGCTTGACATGAAAGAAATAAGTATTTGCTGAATGCAATATATCAGTGGTTTGAATTGCAGTCCACAGGCTGAGAAATTTCAGTGAAGCAAGAACGAACCAAACTATGAGGTCATTATGCAATTTTAAAATACCTGATGGTTCAGTTTGCTAAAATGAAACGAAGGAAATAAGGCAAGGTAACAGTCATTGGTCATTCCTGATCTTGTTCTTCATTGAGGACATTTTAACTCTCCAAAATGGAATCCTGATTTTAAGGAGTTAATAAATGATAAATATCATAATTGTGTTTTGCGCAGTTGCATTTCCTTTCATGCAAACTGCACATCAGATACCACCTCTTACTCTGTGTTGTATGTTGCCCACCTGCTCTGACACATAACTTTAGAATTATAAAATATGAAATGCCCAACAGATGACCTGGGTTATTTTGCTCTACTTAAGAAAGCTAATTATTTGCCCTTGAACAAATGTCACTAAGCCTAGAGAATCTTAAAAACAATTTTTATTTTAAAGTTAAAAAAAAAAATATATATATATATATATATATTTTATTTCAAACAATTCTACTTTAAATCACTTTCTCTAGATTATTGTCTTTTGGCTCCACAATGTGGTGGCAATTTCTAATGTTAATGAAGCAGAAAATTGACAACAGTGCCAGTTTACAAGGATAAATACTATAGCAAAGGAGTCATTTATAATGATCTAAGGCTTTAGGAAATCAATACATACCTTTTCACTTTCTGTGTCTAAGGCAGAAGTGGCTTCATCGAGTAGCAGGATTTTGGGATCTCGCACAATGGCCCGGGCAATGGCAATGCGTTGTTTCTCTCCCCGAGAGAGCTGAGACCCCTGGGTCCCAACATTAGTTTCATATTTCTGGAAAAAGTATGGCAAGTTTGAAAACCAGTAGCTCTTATGCTGCCTGGGGCCCACATTCATGACCCCTCTATGAATTTAAACCATTTGTTGTATTTTGAAACTGGGAATAGTGAATGAGTCTTTCTGTACAGGATGTCAAATCCACTTAGAAATATAAGAAAAATATGGAGTTCATGACCTTTTCTGTTGGGAAACAAGGAAGCTTTGTATCTCCTTCCCTTCATTTCTTTTAGGTTTGTATTTCTGATCTATTTCTCCCCGGGTATGAGATCCTTCCTGATTTCCAAACTCTTGTGTGGAAGATCTTTCCAAGACAGAAAAATTCTAGAATGGGAGGGCCTTTTGAGAGGTCTAGTCCAGTCCCTGGTTGAGGAGGCACCATCTCAGAGCACAGAATCTCCACTCTGGGTTTGAATCTCCACTCTGCCGCTTACTAGCTCTGTGAGCATGGACAAATTATTTAAATTTCTTTGAGATACAAACTAGTCTGAAAAAAATAGATATTAATATGAATCTTAGATGAAATTAGGAAGGAAAATTCCTAGCTAGATGCCTGTTGTAACTACATTAAAAAATAGCTAACATTCACGGACTATGTCCTATGTATCAGATATTGAGCTCACTATTCTAGCCAGATTATCATTTAATATTCACAGAAATCATCCTCTCCCTATTTACAGATTACAAAAGTTAGGCATAGACAGGTAAGAAAATTGCATAAAGACAAACAAATAAAAAGCAGTGACGACGAAATCTAAATCCAGGTGTATCTAGTTTCTGAGCCCTTGCCCTTCCACAACGTGGTCTGCCTGTGCCTGTCTCGCCTCCTAACAAACGCTCAACCAAGCCAAGTGAGACTCGTAATAGCCTACTTTGTCCCTGTGAAGAAAAAGTGCTCAGTGAAAGGTGTTATAGGAAAATCTGTATGAGAAAGAGGCAATAAACCAACTCTAAGCCAGTGTCTCCCACAAAATGAGCAGGTGCTCAACAAAGATTTGTGGAATAAATGAATCTTCCAGGGGACACACAAGCCTGGCTTCATTTAGGATACAGCAAATAATAATGTCCACATGCTACTGGATTAGGCTACCCAAGTTAGAATGAAACCAAGAGCCTAAGACTCAGGAGACTTTGGGAAAAGAGCAAAGGGGAAAAACACACACACACACACACACACACACACACAAAAGCCAGCACAAACAACACAGAATTTATTAACATTATCACTTATAAAGAAAAGCTATGTCCCAGTGGTATTTCAAAGAAAGAAGTGGAAAAGTTTAAATGTAGTATTTGGCTCCTAAAATTCAGTTTCCATGTGTTGATTTTTTTGGAGGAATTAACCACCAAGAGAGACTCTTGGTAGATGGAAAAATTCAGAGTTGACATTGTGCTAAGTTCCAACTTGCCTCTGGAAAAGTGAGATACCCTGAGACAGATGCAACTTACCCTACTAACTGTGGTATATGCTACTAAGTAATGAAATTGTGATGATGACAATGATAACAGCAGCAGCTTTCTTTGTGTAGCTATTGTGTATATTCTTCCATTTTAATGTTAGTTTTTGCAAATGACTGAATCTCAGAAAAGATAAGTAATTGTTCCAAAGTTACACCGCTAGTAAGTGACAGAGCTTGGGTTCAAACTGAGGTCTGCTCGAAATCTCAGCATTTTTTTCACTATGCTAAGCTGATGTTCAATGTACTACTGCTTTATTTTTACAAATTCTATAGCATCCTTTGCATTGGATAATATAATACTTTCCAAAACTAAAGAGTATGTTTATGAAGAACATTTATTTTGCTTAAAAGGCTGAGATAATCCCCAGGCACTGACTGGGAAATAAATTGTGTTGCCTTTTACCTTCTCCTTGAGCCCAAATCATAATATTGGGTTGTCGGAAAAGTCATGACGTATTTTTTTCTGTTTTTCATTGCAAAAATGCGTCATGACTTTTCTGACAGCCCAATATTTTTTTTGTCATTCTACCTCCCCCATCCCCATCTTGCATAGGGAACCACTCTGACTTGGTACTCACCTCTGGGAGTGACATGACGAAATCATGCAGCTGAGCCTGCTTTGAAGCTTCTATGACTTTTTCCATGGGAATTTCTTTGGTGTTGTCCCCATACTTGATATTGTCCATTATGCTACAGGCAAACAACACTGGTTCCTGGGAAACAATTCCAATGTTCGAGCGGAGAAACTCGACATTTACCTTTTTGCTGTCATGCCCATCTATCATCTGCCAATAGAGGTGACAACCAAGGTGTTAAGTTTTAGAATTCCAGCAGCAAGGAAAGCTCATATTCTATAATCAGTGTTATGCAGGATGTTTGCTTTGCTTAAGAGACAACAATCCCAGGACTCTTGGAAATAAATCATGTTGCTTTTGACCCCTGGAGGTGGTGACTGTCAGGAATGGTGTCCAAGTTATGATCAGACTGTGGTTTTGTTTGTTTGTTTTCCAAACTCTAGCTCTACAGGTGGTACAAATGAGAAAAGCCCTCAGGACAGTAAGTAGTTAAAACATTTTTTTTTCCCTTATGCTTTGGTGCAGCACATCCTCTACAAGTTTGCAGAATTGCTTAATTTTTAGACCCCGTGAGTTATGAAACGGGTTTTGAAATGGGTTTTTCTAGGTAAAGATATTGGACAGCATCAGAATTAAAACTGTTTCCTTGATTTTACTGACACTACCCTCTGAATAACTGAGATCATAGACTCAAGTAAGAAAGTACATTTATTCACTTAATTAACCAACAAACATATTGAATTACCTGTCGAAAGGCACCATGGTAGGCAGTCTTTTGCCTACTACATAAAGAAAACACAATCTCTGTTTTCTAGGAACTCACAGCTTAGTTAGGCAGTTAAGTACAGGAACTCAAATATCTACCACTTGAGCTGGTTCACTTCAAAGCCCTAGAATAGTAAAGGTACAGTATGTCTAGCATACTACTGTAAAGTTTTCGGCCCTATGAGCTCAGAAAAATATTATATTAAATAGTGTGAAATATTCCATTTTAGACAATTTCTTGGCAATGAAAACAGCGAATAAGAAAAACGATCATGCATTCCTCAACAACAACTAGCCTCTATCATCTTCCCCTGCTCATTTTCCATAGTACTTATAGCCTGCAAAGCACAATTTAATACTGAAATACAAAGGTGTGAGTATTGTAAGCTCCTAGAAGACAGAAGACATGCTTCACACTCCTTAGAACCTCCCACGGGGCCCAGTGCAATACTGCACATCATAGGTGTCCAATTAAATGTTGAAATGGCTGAATGCCTGCATTTGGTAGCTTCCTTAAAAGCAAAGAGGATTTTTTTAAATTGCATAAAAGGTTAAGTTTTTCTCCTACTTAAAAATGTTTGTAGACGGTTTTTACAAGGGTATAACAAAATGTATTGTGTCTGTGAAATGCAAAGAATCACATTGATTTGTTCATGGGCATTGTTTTCTACCTCTGACCAGAACTTTCACTGAGCACATTCAGCGAAATATACTTAATATACATGTTAATGTTGGAGAGTCAAACATGAAGGGTTCAGGTGTCTGTACGTCATGCAGTTCACAGTTGACCTGGATGATAGACATAGGAGATCTGATATTTTTGGAAACTGGACCCTCTCCTTTGCATATATCAGACCCCAAGTGCAATGTGCTTTCTGGGCTCATCAGTCACCTAATACTTTCAAAAAATTAAAATCTCTATACCTAAAATTAATGACAAGTGATTGTATATTACAGAAAATCAACTCTTACTCCTTATTTTCATAATTTCCTGGATTCTACCAATATCTACTTATTTCCTTGCTTCGCTTTATGCAAGGGAATCTTTAGCTGCCTCTTCTGAGTTTCTCTCAGCATTTCTCTTCATAATATTATCAATTCTCATTGCAATGAAGATTATATTATTCAGGAAAATCGGAAAAGCCTTTTTCAAAATATTAATAGTAAACAATCAGTCAAGTGTAAAGCAGAATAAAACATTTTCAGACCCATGCCTCCGAACCATTTCCTAGAAAACTACTTGCAGATACACTCCAATATAATGAGCGTGAAAATCAAGAAAGAGGAAGATATGGGAACTAGGAAATAATGGATCTAATCTAAAAAAATATTGCCAGAAACTCATAGGGTGACAATTGTTCAGCAAGTGAACCTCTAATTAGTTCAGGCAATGGCAGAAATGAGAGGAAAA